GGGGTTTCACCGTGTTGACCAGGATGGTCTCGATCTCTTGACCTCGTGATCCACCCGCCTCGGCCTCCCAAAGTGCTGGGATTACAGGCTTGAGCCACCGCGCCCGGCTATCAAGGGTATATTTACATGGTACTGCTGGACCCAAAGAGACCCACCTCCACCCATGCAATACAGATGGTTTCTAAAAGAGCCCAGGGCCCCAATAACAAGCAGTATGTTAACTACTGTGTTTCAAATCACAGGCTCAAAACATCCTAAAACTAAGAAACATCTGAAGACTGTTGATTCTTGAACCTCTTTTACAAAGGTGTGTGTCTGGGTGAAGACAGTCATGACACCTGCTTTGTTTCTAAAACAATAAATACACTAAATCCTTAAAGATTCTACTTGAGAAGGCCGGGCGTGGTGGCTCATGCCTAGAATCCCAGCATTTTGGGAGGTCGAGATGGGTGGATCACCTGAGGTCAGGAGTTCGAGACCAGCCTGGCCAACCCATCGCTATACATATTAAAATAAAATAAAAGAAAAAAAAAGATTAAAAAGAATAAGATTCTACTTGAGAAAATGGAAGCCTGGGAGCTTCTGCTGAGCAAACAGCCTCCAGTTGAGCATGTGGCTGCCTCCTGGTTCTGGCCACCACCCAGGGATTTATTGCTTGTTCCCCTCATCTTACACGGTCTCAGTTACATAAACCCACCCCAAGATGCTCTTCATCAGACCCCTTTAAGTATATCAATTTTGGCTTTTTCATATGTTGGGAATAAAGACTAACTCCACTTAAATATATTTACAAGGTATACTAATATGTGGAATCTCTCACGCCTTCCTTTAGAAAAAGAACACACCTGGGCGCAGTGGCTCACGCCTGTAATCCCAGCACTTTGGGAAGCCGAGGTGGGCGAATAACGAGGTCAGGAGTTTGATACCAGCCTGACCAACATGGTCTCTACTAAAAATACAGAATTAGCCAGGCATGGTGGTAGGCGTCTGTAATCCCAGCCACACAGGTAGCTGAGGCAGGAGAATCGCTTGAACCCAGGAGGTGGAGGTTGCAGTGAGCTGAGATTGTGCCACTGTACTCCAGCCTGACGACAGAGCGAGACTCCATCTCAAAAAAAAAAAAAAAAACTAAAAAACATATGGAAATAACAAATTAATTCCAAATTCTTACTTTGCAGATGACGTGTGAACTGTTTCCTTCAAGTGCTAATTTCTATTCTCCAAAATTGTTCCAAGGTGGCAGAACTTCCTTCTTCTTACCCATCTGAATTTTCCAAAGGGGAAACCCAAGCCCCAAATCTCCTGCGGCAGCCTTCTTAAGTGACTACGAGGGCCTAGGATGGGGCTGGTGGATTGAAGCTAGTGGACCTGAGCAAGGCAAGCCAAGGCAGCCAACAGGCGCTCCACTATCCCATTAGAAAGAGCTGCACGAATCCCTTGGAGGGCAGCAGCTCAGGAGTGCTGTGCACTAGGGAAAACTGGCAGGCTTGGGCTGGCTGCAGGGAGCAGCTGCTCACCTCCTGAAGGTTCTGTCCACAGGGGAATATACATCCAGTGCTGCTAGAATTAATTTTGAGAGGAGCCAGAAATGAGGATTTTAATGTCAAATGAAGATACTGTTTAGGCTAAGCCTCCACCATTTTGTATGCAGCGAGCCACCTGTCTGAAGGCTTCACAATTTGCATCAGTCAGAGACAGGATTCCAGGGAACTACAGCAGGAAATACTTACTTGACAGACAGGGAGAAGTCCCCAGGAGCGCTCTCACTCTCTCGGATAAGAAAGGCCCCGTCGTGCCGCTGTTTGCTAAGCATTTCTTCTGCCTTGGCTCTGGGGATTTTGCCAAAAAACCACCTAAGGAAGGAAGGCAAGCTGGTCAACATCTGCTTCCCCACAAAGAAACGGGAAATCCAGCCTTCGAAATGTGAGTAACACAACACTCCTTGCCAGAGTAAGGGGCCTCCCTCCTCATCCTCCAGCTGCACAGTGCCCAATATCAACATTTGGTCAGGTCCCCCAGAGATGGACCTTCAAATGTCTTTACCCTACTACATTTCCCAGAAAGCAACTCACCAAGGCACTAACTGTGGGTCACTCTTTCTATAGAGGAAGCCATTTGCAAACGGGCCTCACAGGCCAAAGCCCACTGGACTTCCTACTGACTCATCAGAAAGGCACCCGGGGAAAAGCCCAGGCCTTTGGGTTTGGTGTACAAGATGAACTGCCAAGGAGAGACTGGCCCCTTCCTGCAGCCATGTGATAAGGTTGCAGCTTTACCACAGTGGGAGTAAGGGAAAGTGGGGAGGAAACCTGGAAGGCCCAGGATCTGGAGGCAGGGTTACTTCTGCTAATAGCCCAAAGGCAAAAGGTTCAGACTGTCTGAGAGTGGCCTCCATCAGTAAGTAACTAAGGTCAGCATTTCTCTCAAGGCCTGCCTCTGTGGTCACTGCTCAGAGTTCAGCTTTCAGAAGCCACCAGAAATATTGTAATTTACCACAGGTGCAGCAGCTTGCTGCAAAATTCAGATTTTTGAAGCAAGTTACAGACTCTTCTGCTCCCAACTGCTGATTCACCTTGGTCAGAAGAAAAAGTGGCTAAATTCATGAAAACCTGTGAAGCAACTGCTTATCAAGAGGAAGAGAAGAGGAACACTTCTACAAGGGCTTGGAGTCAAGCTGCCTGGCTACTTCAAATGAAAACTGTAATCAGGAAAGAAAAACTGAAAACCATGTTCTCTTCTCAAAATCATCTTTAATTATGATTTTTAAAAGCAAAAGTTACTTACAGCTAATAAAGACCTATTTACATGAAAATTGGCACACTTAATTTGCTAATTATAATATAAAAAGTCCTTTAATGGACCAAATAGTCCATTAAAGTTGTAAATCTAACTTGCATATCTTATTTATAAGCAACCATATTCAAGATGTCCCTAAAATAATATACTATACTATACTCAAATTCAAACAGAAAGATGTGAACTGTAGGAAGGACGTGTTGAGAAGCTGCCCTTAGTAACTCCTAACAGTCCAGCGTCTACCTACTGGAGTCCTTCTCATTTTGCATACTCTACTGCCAGGCTGCTCAGGAGCGGGGACCATAGATCCCCCTGCTTCTACAAATCACTCAGGGCTAGGGCCTGCAGTGCCTAGAAATCAGGCCACACAAGAGGTATCACATATCACTAGAACAGAATTCTCTCTAAATATAAAAGGACAGGCTGGGAGTGGTGGCTCACGCCTGTAATCCCAGCATTTTGGGAGGCCGAGGCGGGGCGTATCACTTGAGGTCAGGAGTTTGAGACCAGCCTGGCCAACATGGTGAAGCCTCATCTCTACCAAAAATACAAAAATTAGCCGGGCATGGTGGCGGGCGCCTGTAATCCCAGCTCCTCAGGAGACTGAGGCAGGAGAAATCACTTGAACCTGGGAGGCAGAGGTTGCAGTGAGCTCAGATCGTACCATTACACTCTAGCCTGGGCAACAAGAGTGAAACTCCATCTCTAAATAAACAAACATAAAAGGAGTTAACAGTTTTGAGACAATTTAAACCTTTTCTCATATTGGGGGCCTTGAGTTTCTAATGTAAGTGTATGCAGCATGCATCTGACCGGGAACAGCAGTGAAAATCCACAGATGGCCTCGGCTTGCACTCCCCACACTGCTGGGTGAGGGTGAACCTTCTTAATCAGCCACACTCGCTTTCTTCCTAGAGCCCCAAGATCTTGCTACTAGGCAGGCTTTTTCCCTCTTTTAGGTATAAAATAATGAATATAAATTGAAATAGCCTAGATGTACGTGAAACAAACATAAAAAGCAAGACCCTTCCCTTAAACTCCCCAGAGGCAGCACCTGTTGGTGGTTCTAACACGTAGGTTTCCAGACCTTTCTGTCTGGTACACAAATACATAGACATGGCTGCTGTGTTTTCTTGCCCCCAGCTTAAAATTAATGCAATTTTATTTTCAATTAAAAAAATAAACTGAAGTATAAATCACATTCAAAAAAGTATTCTAATTGGAATTTTTAAAAAATAAACATCTCCCTGTTATAAGCACCTAGATCAAAAAATAAAAAATCTGGGACCAGGTGAGGTGGCTCACACCTATAACTCCAGCACTTTGGGAAGCCAAGGTGGGAAGACTGCTTATGCCCAGCAGATCAAGACCAGTCTGGGCAACCCAGGCTGAGACCCTGCCTCTACAAAAAATAAAAAATTAGCCAGGCATGGTGGTGCACAGATATAGACCCAGCAACTTAGGACAGAGATGGGAGGATAACTTGAGCCCAACCTGGATGACAGAGCAAGATCCCGTGAATGGCTACCACTATTAAAACACTTAAACATTTCTATAGCATTTATATAACTTACAAATTTGACTAACTTCTTTAAAGGATATGTATGTGTGACTACATGCTTATGGATGAATGTTTTATGTTTTATTTTTTTGAGACAGTCTTGCTTTGTTGACTAGGCTGGAGTGCAGTGGTGTGATCTCGGCTCGCTGAAATCTCCGACGGGCAAATGTTTTAAAAGTCTTTAAAAAGATGGGCTTTGGCCAGGTGCAGTGGCTCATGCCTGCAGGGAGCCAAGGTGGGTGAATCGCTTGAGGCCAGGAGTTCGAGACCAGCCTGGCCAACATGGTGACATCTCGTCTCTACTTCAAATACAAAAATTAGCCAGGAGTGGTACTGTGCGCCTGTATCCTCAGCTACTCAGGAGGCCAAGGCAGGAGAATCACTTGAACCCAGGAGGCAGAGGTTGCAGTGAGCAGAGATCGCACCACAGCACTCCAGCCTGGGCAACAGAGCAAGACTCCGTCTCAAAAAAACAAAAACAAAAACGAAGAAAGATGGGCTTATACAACAGAAATAGCAAGGGAGAAAGCTAAGGGGTTGGGGGAAAAGGCTAATTTTCCAGTATAATTCTTTACCACATCCCATAGGCTGCCATCCATACACATTTAATATGAAAAGTACATATTTGGATCCACTCCTCAAGCATGTATAACTGATGCTACAGCACTAATGCCAACAATCATTCTGTAGTCTGTGTCTAATCTGTTAACTCAAATGCTGCATTAGTTGAGATGGTGCTCCATTTTTTATTTTATTTTTAGTTTTAAAGACGAGGTTTCACCATGTTGGTCAGGTTGGTCTTGAACTCCCGACCTCAGGTGATCCACCCGCCTTGGCCTCCAAAGTGCTTGGATCACAGGCGTGAGCCACCATGCCCAGCCTGGTGCTCCATTTTAGAGTTTCCTTTTCCCCGCTGCCCCTGCCCCCAAAAAAAACCCCAGGAGGTGGTAGGATGGGGAAGAGAAGGCCTGGTACTGATCCTGACCCTGTATCTATGAACATCCAGCCAAAGAGCAGCCCTATACAATGGAACTATGTCTGCAAGGCCATACCCCACATAGGCACAAGCATGGTCTTTGTTAGCAATATGGTAGACCTGAATAAATAAGGGGTTTTAAGTTGCTACTTTCCTTTTCAGAGCTCAGAGTGGCTGAGCACTGCTTACCCTTTGGCCAGTCTGCAAATAACAACACAGCTGACCTGTGCTGGGTGCCTCTCAATCAATTCTTCTTCTAAAGTTCTTCACAGTGGGGGCAAAAGGTCAAGGCAAGGGAGTGACTGTCCCAGTCAGTCTGGCAGTAACTATAACTTTCCATGGATGGTGGTGGCCTTTCCTATCTTTCCTCAACAGTCAGATTTAAATGCCTGTCTTATCTGAAACACTCTGAAGAAAAATAAGAATACAGAGCCACAGGCATTTCATATAAGAAGTATAGTACGATGTTCTGCTGAATTCCCTTTCAATCTGAAAATATGAAAGTAAAAGGGAACTGAAGTCCATGTTGTGTTTGGATCTAATAAAGGAGCCAGCGAATGATGGCCTTTGGCCTAAATCTGTTTCTACATGGTCTACAACCTAAGACTGTTTTTTACAATTTTTAATCAGTTGTTAAAAGAAAATTTTTACAAGGAATATTTGACAGGACTATATGTGGCCCACATATAGTGGAATTACTTGCTATCTGGCTCTTTACAGAAAAAGTTTAGCCAATCCTTGATCTACAGTTTATTTTGAGCACGACTGAAGGAAACAGAAGTGCACAAATTATGTGGCTTACATGGGACCTGGAGAGGATGTGCTGTGACCCAATGGGTCCCTCCCACTCAAGATGCAACCAGCCACCTTAAAGTCTCCACTACCAGCTGGTGTAAAAGCAAGCAGACAACATCCAATGGCACTTTAGTCTGTGTGTGGAAAGCCTCAGCTCCCCTGACATACTCGCAAGGCAAGCCAACAACTGCTTCTGCGCTGAAAGCAGGGCCTGTGAATGAGGGGTGAGTGAGGGTGGGAGGACGGTGGTCTGCAGGGGCTCCCAGGGTCCCACTATGTCTCGATCAATATAAATCACAGTAGGGGTAGCTTCTGAAAAAAATTTAAAAATATTTGCTGCTCTCAGCAGCTGGAAGGAGAGCATATTTTGTTATCTTCTAAGTAGGAACACTAAGACGGAAGGATAAACATTTATTGAGAACTAGTAGATGCCAAGCCCTGTGCTCTGGGATACAGATATATGAAGATACCATCCCATAGGAATAGCACTTAATAAACACAAAATCATGTAAGTACCTTTTCTAAAACTAAAAAAAAAATGCAACACATCTGGCCCTGAGACATATTTAACAGAAAAAGAATTATGGACCTGCAAAACTATTGTTTTAGCTTTGAAGATAACTGACAGTCATTACCAATCTAAAACATATAATATTATTGACTATTATATATTATCATTATATACTATTAACATACGCAATCAATATCCTTTGTTATTCCCTAGAAACGTGAATAAAAGGTACGACATCCATCCCAGTGATCTCAATTTTAAAAAGTGTGTTTGAAACAAGCAGGTGGGTCCAACCCTTGCAAGACTAATGGAGATCAACTTACGGATGTGGTTTCATTTCTATGTAGTTCTTGGGAATGAAGCCGTCTTTTCCATTAAGCTCTGCCTTGTACCAGTTCTGATCACATTCTTCATTCAAAACCTGAAGAGAAATAAGACAAGGAAAAAACCCAATCATTTCCTTTTCCCTTTTATTTTATTTATTTTTGAGACAGAGTTTCACTCTTGTTGCCCAGGCTGGAGTGCAATGGCGTGATCTTGGCTCACTGCAACCTCAGCCTCCCAGGTTCAAGCGATTCTCCTGCCTCAGCCTCCCGAGTAGCTGGGATTACAGGCATGCCGCCAACGTGCCTGGCTAATTTTGTATTTTTAGTAGAGATGGGGGTTTCTCCATGTTGGTCAGCCTGTTCTCAAACTTCTGACCTCAGGTGATCAGCCCACCTCAGCCTCCAAAAGTGCTGGATTACAGGCATGAGCCACCACGCCCAGCTCCTTTTCCCTTCAAAAAGGTAGCTACAAGACAATTATGCTGTCTTTTAGGTTTGCGAAAGGTTTCATTGGAAGCATTATCAGTTATATGGATATGACTTCTTGTAACTTCAAACAACTGGCATTATGTTAAACTCTGTTAAAATTAAAAAAAAAAA